CAAGGGCAACAGGCTTAGGTTTGGTTTCCAAACCTTGTGTGAAGCTTTCTTGTGTGAAGCCACTTACTTGGAAGTAGACATAGAATGGCTTTGTCCTCAAGCATGGGAGGCAGGTGGCATTGCCCAGAAAGACCCATCTGCATGCACATTTTAAATGTTTGCTAAAAATGCAACTTGGACCGGAGTGGGAATAACCAACTCTTTAGGGAATGCCAAAGGATATGAAGGCTTGAGAATAACTGGTCTGGGACAACTTAAGGACTTAGACTTTGGAGGAAGACCAGTATGAGTTTATGTTCTTGCTCTACCACTTAACAACTCTGTTTCTTAGTTATCCAGGGCTGCTGGAACAGATACCATGAGGGGGTGGTTTTAACAAACAGACATTTATTCTCTCACAGTTTAGGAGGCTAGAAGATTGAATTCAGAGCACCAGCTCCAGAGGAAGGTTTTCAATCTCTGTTGGCTCTGGAGGAAGGTCCTTTTCTCCTTTCAATATCTGCAGGCCTGCATTCCTTGGAGATTTCCATGTGTCTTGGCATCAATCTTCTTTTGGGTCTAGGAGGTTCTCAGCACAGGGACCCCAGGTCCAAAGGACACACTTCACTCTAGGATCTTCTTTCTTGGTGGTACTGAGGTCCTCTCCTCCTCTGTTTGCTTTTCTCTCCTCCTGTCTCTTGTAGGATAAAAGGTGATGCAGCCATATCTGAGGGAAACTGCACTCACATTAGACCAGGGCTGTGACTTGAGTAAGGGTGTTGCATCCCACCCCAAGCCTCTTACAACTGATTGGCTGATCACATCCAATCACATCATGAGGGATGATTACATCATTACCTAGCTGCCAAGTCACTGAGAATCATGGCCCTGCCAAGATGACACATACTTTTTTTGTGACACAATTCAATCTATGACATTACACCCTTTGCTCTCCCAAAATTCTTGTCCTTACCACATGCAAAACACTTTCACCCCATCATACCATCTCCAAAGTCTTAAATCAACTCCAAGTCCAAATTCCATCCTGGGACAAAATCCCTCTTCATCTGTGACTCTGGAATACAAGTTAT